GGCGGGGGCGGGCCCAGGACCTCCGGCGGACCTTCCATTCTCCGGGGCGGGAGCGGAGTCCCGGCGCCCGATCGGGCTGGGCCCGCGCCCATGGCTAGTGGGGCCTGCCCGGGCCCCGGGGACCCTGCCATGTGAGGCAGGCCCGGGCTGGGGGCCCGGCCATGGCCGGGGAAGGGCCCCCACTGCGGGGCCCTGGGCCCGGGCCGGGAGAGGCGCCGGGGGAGGGGCCCCCGGGGCCGGGGGGAGCGGGCGGAGGCCCGGGCCGGGGCCGCCCCTCCTCCTACCGGGCCCTCCGCAGCGCTGTGTCCAGCCTGGCGCGCGTGGACGATTTCCACTGCGCCGAGAAGATCGGGGCCGGCTTCTTCTCTGAGGTCTACAAGGTAGGACCGGCAGAGAGGGCAGAGGGGCGGGACCGAGCCTTAGACAGGAGGCTGGAACTGGGGCCGGACTGGGGCGACCCGCCCGGGACTCGCCGGCCTCTGCCGCCCCCAGGTTCGGCACCGACAGTCCGGGCAAGTCATGGTGCTGAAAATGAACAGGCTCCCCAGTAACCGGGGAAACACGCTACGGGAGGTGCAGCTGATGAACCGGCTCCGGCACCCCAACATCCTAAGGTGAGCGGGCCCCAGGCGCTTGCTGGGAAGCTTGCTGGGGGAAGGGGAAAGATCCCGCCGGAAAAGTGGGAACTGTGGAGGGACTGGGGCTCTCACAGCCTGCCCTCCTATCTTCCCCATCCTCTTCCAGGTTCATGGGGGTCTGTGTGCACCAGGGGCAGCTGCACGCTCTTACAGAGGTGAGGATGTGCCAGGAAGCCCCCCCCCCCCAATCAAGGGGAGAGAGAGTCAGCAGCCCGGTGCATCTGCAGAGGAATAATGAGAAGCAGCAGGACCTTCTCCCGGGGAGGCTTCCCTGAACTTCCCTTTGGGCAAACCACAAATAAAAGGCCTCAGCTGGTCCCATCCTCTGTGTTCTCTAGAGCAGTGCTGTCCAATAGAACTTTCTGCAGTGCTGAAAATGTTTTATATACCTGTGGTAGCCACTAGCCACATGTGGCTAAGGAGCCCTGGAAATGTGGCTAGTGTGACTGAGAAACTGAATGCTTAATTTTATTTAAAATTAATAATTTAAATAGTTGCACATTTATTGGACAGGACAGCCCTAGAATATGAATGGGGGATCCTAGAGCATTGGACTCACTCTTCTCACCTTTGCAATCCTCCTGAGTGTCCCCTGGCTTATAAGTGAGAGACGGAAACTACAGACTGAAACCTTGACATTCATTCCCCTTCTCCTCCCCCTATGCCACAGTATATGAATGGGGGAACCCTAGAACAGCTGCTCAGCTCCCCCGAACCCCTATCCTGGCCTGTCAGGCTCCGCCTGGCTCTGGACATCGCCCGTGGCCTGCGGTACCTGCATGCCAAAGGGGTATTCCACCGAGACCTCACATCCAAGGTAGGCTGGCGAGGTGGGTGGAGGCATGAAAGGGGACTTGAGACTATTAGGTTGTAACTAGCCCATGGATGTAGGATGTTGGAGTAGCAAGGCATTGGAGAATGGGGGTCTGGGGTGAAGGGGAGTGCCCTGAGGAAGTGAGTACCATGCTGTGTTTGGAGCGATGGATGATGTTGCAAATTGGGGTGCATGGGAGGACTGGGAGATAGAAAGGGTTGGGGTGACTCGGGAGTGACAGGGCTTTGCAGTGTGTATTAGGAGATCAGGGAGCAGAACGTGATGGATGTGTGGGGATGCTATATGTGTATGTCAGAACTGTCTGATCCGACGGGATGACCGAGGCTTCACAGCTGTTGTGGGTGACTTCGGGCTGGCTGAAAAGATTCCTGTGTATAGGTGAGGTGAATGCCCCTGTCCCCCCAAACCTCCCAGGAAGCCCCTATCTAAGTGAAGCCCCCAGGGACACTTCCCTTGGAGTGGGGAGGGGATGACCTCATGCCCTT